ATTTGCAAGTGTGCAACGGTACACAGATATTGACTTAACTCTTGGATGACCCCATAGGCGTACGGGCTTGATGAGTGTAAGGCGGGGGGAGGGGGAACCTGATATGCCTGAAAAATTTTCCGATTGCAGACATCTAGGGACCCCAGGCCCCAAAGAAAATATGAAAAATTTGACGACCGTGAATACACCACGTGGTCAATATATCAATCGTTTACAGTCCACGGAGACAAAACCGTCGGGAGAGAAATTTTAAAAATTTAACTGCCGCAAGTGTGTTTCCTTGTAATTCCAGCCCGGTTTATAGGGCTTGATAAAATATGTCAAGTTTTCCGTAGGTTTTACCCACAAGATTTTGTAGTAATAAGGAACCGGTCGACCATTCAACTATTTGATAGAAACCTGTGGAATCTAGAAATGCAGCCCATTGTGTACATTGGTAGTTTCCTTCACCATTTTTACTCGTCGTTTGTTGTACGGCTGTGTCAAGGACAAAGTAAGATGAATTAGAAATATGGACGTGTCTGATATCAACGGCTCGTATGGTCAAGTCATAATGTTCAATCACTATTCTTAAAGACTGAGCAGTGACGACCACGTTATACAGCTGAGATATGGTTCCAAAACTGATTTGTCCGATATAGTTGAAGGAAAGAACTTTAATCCAGGATCGACTTTCTACAAACCATTGAATTTCGACTGTCGTAACTGACGATGTAAATTCCAAATCGGATTCCCACAAATAGCTGCATGAAAAGATTGAACCATTAGTTGCAACTGAGGATCGAATACGTAGGGCCCGGTTTGCTTGATATTCTGTTTGATTGAATATTTCGTTCATGACCCCCAAAATAATGCCCCCTTCAATCAAGATATCGTTAAGTGGAGACGCGACCCCATTGGCAATAGCTCTGATAGGCTTTCCGTTGCGAATAGCAGCTTCCAGGTATTCTTTTGAACCAGATATAGCAATACCGGATGAGGTATGGGAATAAGCTGCATGCCAACATGCGTCGAGTATCCAGTTTGTTTTATAGTTAATCACACCACCATACTCATACATGTGATTCGTAATAGACCAAATAAAGTACTGGCCAGCACCTTTGCTATATTTTTGAATGTCTTCTCTCGAACTGGGGTTTATAAACTTGTAGGTGTAATCGAATTCACTAAACTCGTGGGACAAATAATCCGTTGCATGTACGTGCAGATTACTTGAAACAGATGTAATGTCCACTACCTTAGCACGAACCGATAAATTCCCTGAAAGATAGAGATCGGCACCCTTTTCCAGTGTGGCAAGACAATTTTCCGATGAACCAAGGACAGCGGTAAAGTTATATTCACTGATTAAACATGGCGTAATGTCATGAAAGCTAGACGCGTACCATTCGAGAGTTCGCGGTGAATTTACTACGGTCTCAGTTAATGAATTTAACTGAAGCTGCCACGTTGATATGTCTGCCGTTGAAAAAATTTCTTTTCGTTGCCTATACGGGGTTGCATTTAGATATACCAAAGTTTCAATTATGCGTGCGTAAACTTCTTCTGTATGATCAAAATATCCACTATTATCTATGGAATACAATGTCCTCTGTGGACCTTCGTGCACCATCACCTTGATGTTGCTCCCTTTTTTTACTGACTCTACAAGCAAGCTTTGGTCTCCGAGTGTCATTTGTCCAGTCTGGTCTACAGAGAACAGGTTCGTCCAGGTACGACCCTGGCAGTAATCTGAAAAAATAGTCATTAATGTAGAAAATAAACAAACAAAAATTTGAATATTTAAAAGATTCATTAATAAAGCATATAAGATTGACTGGGATTCCTGTAGCATCTACTCCAAACATATCAAGAATACTGGAAGACGATGGCAGTCTAGAAGTTTACACATTTAGATCAGCAGCCCAGTACGTTGATCGGATAGCAGGAAAACAGTATAACAGCGTAATATGTAGTATATAAAGACACTTAAACTTTTTTGAGTGATGCGAAAACAATTTTCTTAAAATGATAGATACATTTTTTAATTTGCTATTGGCAGTTTTTTTTATTGTATCCAGTATTATGTAAGATATGTATAACTCACCAGGAGGTGTTAGTTCACATTTCAATCCTGTAAAACCGCTTGGACAGTGACACATTCCTGCATAGTAGGTTCCATCATTTAAACAGCCATTGTCCTGTAACATATACAAATAATAACATGTGTTTAAACAGGCATTACCCTGTAAAGTTTATTATAAAATTAATATCCAAAACAGATACTGTCATATAACATTAATATTTAAACAGCCACTGTTATATAACATTTTAATGTTAAAATATCTGTCATATAACATTGATTTTTTTTTAAACAGCTACTGTTATATATTATTAATATTTAAACAGCTACCGTTATAACATTAATATTAAAATATCTACTGTCAAATAGCATTAATATTTAAACAGCTACTGTTATATAAATATAATATTAATATTCAAACAGCTACTGTTATATAACAGCTTTTATTATTGATATCCAAACAGGTACTGTTATATAATATTAATATCCAAACAGCTACTGTTATATAACATTACTATTCAAACAGATATATTGTTACATAATATTAATATTTAAACAGCTAAATTTAAAATTTCTGCATTAAAATTTCTACTGTCATATAACATTAATATTAAAATTTTCAACTGTCATGTAACATTAATATTTAAACAGCTACTGTCATATAACATAAATAACTAGCTACACTGGTCCTATAGAATTTGAAAAATTCAAATCGGTATTTAAAGAAACAACAATATATACTACAACCCCCCCCCCCCCCCACACACACACACTCAAAGTCCCTTAAAGTAAAAAGAGTTAATATTATATAAACCAAAAAAGGGAGGAAAACTATTTTATTCCAATAGCATTTGAGATCACTATGGTGTAACAGTCACTAAAAGCACATTTTTACATAAGCCCCTTACCATATGCGGGATACTTTAAGGTACACCAGTTCCTTATACAAGAAGGGGTAACAGACTGAACTAAATACCCCCAAACTCAAAGCGAGAAAGAGACAGAGAAATGGGGTCTAACGTCCACTCGACACAAACTTGGTCATTTCTAGACTAACATATGGTTCAATTTTAGCAGTGGGAGAAAACCAGAGGACCCAGAGAACACCCACGAGGTTGGACAGGCAACCATACTCCTTATCACGCGCAACCGGAGAATCGAAACCACGCCAGTTGACTCATTGACAGAGTTTATGATACAACGCGCACGCGCTAACATTCGTCCCCCCCGCTCCCTCCCTCCCTCCCCCCATATCAAAGAGGAGAGCAAATACTACTTACCACCGATAGAACAATACATCCATTTTGTTCGTAGGATTCCGCACTAGAATGAAATATGTTGCCCGTGACAAGATAGCACATGTTTCCACAAATTACACCAAAATCACAATCCCAATCATTTAAACATTTTACATAACACTTCACAAATACCATCCCATTCACTGTCGATGAACTTAATGTTGTATGTGAAGTGCCATGTGTATTCAAACCTGGAATTGCAGTTGGTATAATGGACATTTCACCGGAATCGCAAAAACACAAAGATAGCGCGGTACAATCAAGAATTATCAGAAGTATTATATATTTCAGACAATTGTTAGCCATTTTAGTTTTAGGCAGGATGGACTTGCCTGGAATATAACACACCTTATGGAATGAGCTGAAAAACTTCAAATAAAGCGGTCTATTATTATTATTCTAATACAAGAAAATCAATCAACTTTTGTTCAAAAAGAGATGAGCCAAAACAGTGTGTTCTTTTATTCTCAATCCAAGTTATTTGTCCTTTGTGGACCGTAAAGAAATAATGGTTAGGAAAGATGTGGTCAATACTAAATTATTCATGTTTATTTACGATAAATTGTTTTCTAACATAGAGCTGGTTGTGATATTGTCTTCGTGCTTTATAAAACAACTCAATAGAATAATATATGTGTTGACAACTTGTACATAGCAGCCATGTCTCGACGGAAAACAAGATAGCCATAGACAGCAGCGTCTCCCATGTTGATAGTTCGGTCAAATGTGTCCTCATAACACAGTGCATTAATATGCCCGTCTTTATTTGCCCGGTTGGTGCAGAAAAGTAGGACGTTGAACCCCACTTAATTTCATATGAAACACTCCATGGAATATTGGCCAATGCCCGTATTCACTATGCTTGTTGGTGCAGAAGAGTAGGACGTTAAACCCCATTTAATTTCGTATTCTATAGATTAAACACTAAAACATATGACGTCAATGATTTAAAAGCCTTCACATTACTTGATTTGACCTTCAAACGTACATTTCTGTTTTAGCCTTGGCTGGCGTACATTACATAGTCCAAATCATTCATTGCATAGGCGTAGGAGCCGCGGGGTGGGGGGGGGGTTGAACTACAGCCGGGCAAAACAATTTTTTTCGGGCGATCATTCAATTTTTCGGGCACTGGATAAATTATGAAAAATAAAATTTTGGTGAATATAAATGGAAAAATGTGAAAAGTATTCCTTCCCGTAAAATAAATTGGCCGAGATCCGGGACTTTCACTGACCACTGTGTAGGTTGATGGAATATCCAACAGGAATTCAGGGTTTCAGAAAATTACACAATTCTGATTTATATTCAGGGTGTCTACTTCTCAAACTCAAACTACAGTTCCAGAAGATTCGCTCCGCTGGGCGCCACTTGCAGTTATTTTTCGAGATTTGACTACGGTTAATTTCTGGTTAAGTTATGTAGAGTCATCTGGAATTGTCGACTTATTTTTCAGGCAAAAATGATACCGCCCGCCTCCCCAACAGGAAAATCGGCCCGTACGCCTATGATCCAGTGTAACCTTGATGATACAAATGGCTGTTACATATCATCTTTTGATTTGTTATCAATATGTGTCGCTATTATATAGGTCATGGTATATTGATTATATTCATCATATTAAATTGTATGAAATGAACATGCCAGCAGTTTACTATAGCTTGTGGTTATGTTTAGTTTTGTGTCCGTATGTAATAACACAGTATATCTATCCTATAGATGATACACCTGGATTTGGTAGAAGATTTGATGGTGTAGGGGGGTTGAGCGGAGGGGGAGTATGTTTTTATTTTTACCTTCTTGACCATGACCTGGACACGATAATTTTTATTTTTATTGATCTTGCGTATATTATGACTTTAGTTAGTGTAGTATGTAGTTGTCTCCCCTGTCATAGCAGCTGTTAAATCTCACACTTGCGTGCTTTATCTTGCTTACACAGAGTACAAATTCTGTGTTGCTTAGGTAGTGCGTTATATTACACCTATGCAACATTTACATCAGATGGTGCCCTCGTTACGTCACCTCTGCGTCGGCGTAAGTGGTTCTTGGCCGTCAGTTGCCACAAACGATACCGAGGCAGTATGCCTACATTTATGTAACGCCTTACCCTACGACTGGCTGTTTGGCTCAAACTGAGGTAATTAAGACGGACATACGCCATTACGCCATGATACAGTGTAAATTTTGATCGGACAGGGGCAATTCCTACTGCCAAGGGATCTTTTACGTCCCATTCGAACGAATAGAAATTGTCCCTTGTCAGGTCCTCCGTCCGGCAAGGGGGAACCACGTTTATTGTTTGGGAGTGCTCTGGGGGGGGGGGGGGATGAGATCAGGTGGGTTGGAGGATGAGGATATCAAGCAGGTTGGAGGAGGAGAAAGGGTCGGTTAGGGAGATAATTTCTACGCAAAATTCATCTATCGAAATACTGGGGTAGAATTAGAGATATGATGAACTACCCCTATCTAAAACCCTTGTGGTAGACTCGACCTTGCCAATAAGCCCGATTAATAGACTCTCTACATGATGACTATTTGTTAAGATAAATATCTTAACATTAAAGTAATCAACACCCAGTAATTATATACAGTATACTTTATTTATATAGAATCTACTTCTAAACTTGATACTTAAATTTGATTCTTGATATTTTAATGTGTCGGATTTGTTTGTAGACTGGACCTTGGGAGCAGAAATCAGATGGAATAGTAACATATCATTCAATTTAACCTGGTAAAAAGTGACTATTTTCGTAGCAACGACTTGTAACAGCAATTGGAAGCAGAACTGGACGGTAAAAGCTACCGGTCCTAACGCGGCATAATCAAGACAGAACCTTATTTTAAAAAGGCAACGTACATAAAACAAAACGAAGTATAGTATAATGAGGACTATATACAAACTACTTTCGACATACATATATTACATTTTGACTGCAATTACAGAGGTCAAAAAAATATTACCCATTCTGATTTTACACTATAACTTTTTTGAATGTGAACCCTTTAATACGTTTTTTTTTCAGGATACTAATAGTCTCCTATTGTGTCACTATTTCTGAACACGGTTCAATAATTAATGACACGCTCAATCGATTCACCCCTCCCTTCTCAGAATTGTTAACATATTTTTGGCCCACGGTGTATATAAAACTATAGTGATCAACCAGCTGTTAAAATATCTATTACAGGCAACAAGTAAACTATTAGTTAATTATCCACAACAACAGCGAGATGAAATACTTGATTATTTATTCAAGGTAAGTATTATGCTAACCATAATAAATAGAGACTTTCAAATTGTATTTGAACAAAACACAATTGTGGGGAAACCCTTTATCTTAAACTGTAGGTCGTCTATTATGTAGACTGTCAAATTTGCTGGATGCACAATCTTATTTGAAATTTATCAGTGTCAAGTTTTTAATTTGGCTGAGTAATATCTCTCGTATGGTATAGAGGTCTTTAAATCATTGGGATATCGGGGTAAACTTGTAGGTATTTTTTAATAATTGTGTCATGAAGTGAAAACTGGCAAATGTATATTATGTGACTGGATTTTTATGATTTTCAAATATAACAAAACACCTTTACTTATCTTCCCTAAAACGTTTCTTACTGAAAGGGGAAACCGACCTGATGAATCCCAAGCATTATTTTCGGATTGGCTATAAGATGAAATAAAAAGGGGCTTAACGGCTCACTTTTCTGCACCTAATAGGATATTGAAGACGGTGGGGATTGGTCAGTCAGTAGAGATCCCCATTAAATTATTCGTTAGTGAATAACATCGAATGCTTTTGGTGATCGCCATTATAAATACTGTCTTTTACGCAAAAACACAGACCCGTTCTAATCTCACTTCGAAGTTCTGGATCAGGAGGTTATAAACATAACGGCCCTAAACCATAACGGCCGAAATAATTGTCCCCAAGCGCTACTAATCTGGTTATTTTGGGAGAAGACGTTCTTCGAAAAGCTACGCTAATTCATGTACTTTCGACATGAAACTTGCAATGTCATCACAAGTACCTGGCCCATAGTACGCTCGTCCTTCCATTTCCAAATCTAAAAAAAAAACTAGTGTGTTTTCCATTGACTTTATTCGTAAAAAAGATTATGGATAATCGTTCATCTAGAGTTAAACTTTGTTCAAAATTAAATAAACCAAACAATTGAAAAGAGGATTGCCTGGGCTAAGTTGTTTATACTATAATAGATATATGATTTTATGACCAAATATTTATATACCCATAGCTATGATACAAAGTCCAGTTGGTGTATAAATCGAAGATTTACGGGATCACACGTATTTCTAGTATATAAATCACGATTACGTGAGCACGTGATTTTCCAGATATAATATACTCTTCAAAAAAAGTAGGGGATATTCAGAAACAATACAAAACTGCGGAAATGCATTGCTATTTTTATTAGTGTTAACCAGTGCATGTTAATAACAGGTCAATTGCCCACACATGAACGTAAACAGTTCATACGAACGGCCTATCTGACGGCCCCATTTAACCCGCAAAGAGATACACCGTCAAAAGTGAAAACGGACGTTTTTGATTTTTGTCTTAATAATGAGTAATTGCTCCACCAATCCTCAGACATTCAGCAATTCGTCGTGGTATACTCCTAATCAACCGTCCAATCACGATTTGGGACAATCTGACCCACTCCTCTTGCAGTGTCACAGCCAATTATTGCAGTGTTGTCGGTTGACGTTGACGTCGACGCGAACACGTCTCCCGATCAAATTAAACGTAACACACTAAAGCAAAGATACGCTAAACAGTAAATCGTATGCAAGAACCCATGGGAAAGCAAACATGGATAGATAAACCAGCAATCGGCAGTTTTCATCAACCGTTACCTGAAGTGTCAAATTTGACAATGAACCCCACCCACGTGTATGGCGCTATTGCGTGTTGCACGTGCAGCTCAGTGGTTCTGTTGGATCGATAAGTTCTTCATCTGTGAACATACTCTCAAAGCATATCAAATGTCCATGACTATATATCATATCACAACGTATATTTACGTAGATCATATTATACTGTAATATTGGTAATATGAAAAGTAAAATGAAATCTGAATGATAAGGTTTCAAAATATAATGCAAACCGTTTCACGATTCCAATATTCCAAATTAAACCAATTACTTGATGGATAGCACCTGTTCACGAAAACAGCGCGGATAAGGCAAGTGCATTGATTTATAAAAACTAGATAAGCCTAGTCGAAACGTCGCTCAGTTACGAACTGGAATGGTGGTCCTGTGTATTTCCAGTTCGATTACTAAATGTCATTGAAATAATTCATAATAAACACGTGAAATCCTTACAAAAGGGCAATAAGTTGATAGTTTAACAGAACATACGAACGACATCATTCACCCGTCATAGCTATTTTAACTATACGTTTTAAATGTATTTTCAGCCAAATTTTGGAGCTTCCTTACATATTCTTAAAGTGGAAATTGGTGGCGATGGTCAGAGCACAGGTAAGGGTGTGTCTAGTCTTTTTTCAAACATGAGAACGATACAATCGTGTCTCAGTTATCATGAGAACGATACAATCGTGTCTCAGTTGTCTTGTGCCTCTAGGAGCCGAAGTTGATTCTTGTATTTTACGATAAATTATCCCTAAACTAGATATTATTTCATTCCGTGGCTTTTATTATTTTTAAGGGGAAATACTTGAGTTTGATATTGTTTTTTTGCAGATGGAACTGAAGCTTCCCACATGCACTATAGCTGGGATTTGAATTTTGAACGAGGTTATGAATGGTGGATGATGAAGGAAGCGAAAAAGGTCAAATCACTGTTTATACAAAACTTTATAAAGCCTGAATACAAACGTCAGAAGAACTCAAATATATATAATGGGTTATGCGAACTTCTGTTGCGGTCAGTGATCATAGAAAGTTATGAAATTAATATTTAACGATTGCAAAGGAAACCGTCATTGCATTGCTGAACCCATAGCAGTACTCGAAAGGCCGTGATTTGCACGTGCGTCTATATAATTAAATTAAATTAAATTGTTTATGAAAACGACATATGTACCCATATCCGAAGTTATGTTGCGAAACGTAGAAATTATGGCTAAGTGGTAGACTTTATTTCTTTGCGAAGCCTGCAAGGTAAACCGAATTTTGTTTCGAACCAACTTGATATATTCCTTTTTTTTTCGTTTTTTATTTACAGAGAAATCCGGATATCAAATTATTCGGATTGCCATGGGCTTTTCCAGGGTGGGTTGGTGGAGGAACCTTAAGTCCCTACACATATCCAGAAGTGACCTCAACGTATGTTTGTGAATGGATTCTCGGCGCTAAAAGAATACACAATCTTACGATCGACTATGTTGGGGTATGTATTTCAAAGATTTTCATACAATGTCAGATCTTCGCCATAAAATAGCGTTATCTACACTGATAAATACGGAATCGTAATACCTGAATTGAACATACTGTGTGGACACTGACTCATTAACCGGAAGTTACCTGGTTCAACTTCGTATTGGACTAGACAGTTCATCTAGATTTACTCCTTGTAAATGGTGCAGGCGGGAGGGTCACGTGTCCACGTTTGATAGCACGTATAGAAACACTTGATAGTTGGAGTTGCCCTCATGCCCGTCTCGGTGCAGAAAATTAGAACGTGAAACCCCATTTCACTTCATTTCACAGATCCTTTGAAGAAATTCTTTATGAAACTCGGGTCCTCTGGGTCAAGATGATTCTAGTTCTAATTTGAACCCGGGAACTTGGTAGATCAATACTTCTTCCTCTAGATCATGAAACATTTACTAGATCGCACAAGTAATGGTATCAGGTTTTCTCGAAAGCGTGAGCATACTCTGCCCGTACACGGATACTTTACGGACTATAGGTAAAACAGCTTGGATTTGGTCTTTAAACGCAGAATCGAATTCATCATTTATTTTTTTTGTTTCAATTTCAGATTTGGAATGAACGGGATTATAATGTTACTTATATTTTGGTAAGTATTAACGATCTAGAAATTCCTTCCATTAATAAAGTTTGTATTAGAAACATAAGGATTATGGCAATTTGAATTGTTTTCCAGACATTAAGAAAGACATTAGATTCCTTTGGGTTACAACATGTAGAAATCGAGGCAGCAGATGGAGGGATAGATAAGATAGCCCACGATGTACTTACAAATCCAGATCTAGCTCTTGCTGTTTCTATTATTGGGTTCGTATGTACATTGAATCACAGAATAAAATATCACTTTGTTAGTATGCATTTGAATTCCGTTAAGCATATCGTTTAATATTCCCTGAACATATTGCAAATTTTTGACCAATTGAACAAAAATAATCATATTAAAATGTCTCCCTTTCTTTTTCATTTATGCTTTAGATTGCATCAGGATGTTACTCAGAACAAACAGAATCCCCAAACCCCTCCCATATACTCGCCTTGTTACAGTTCTTTATAATCCGCTGCGCGTTTCTGGACAAAAAGACCGATAAGAAGAGATATCCTGTCCTGTATTTTCAGATATCACCAGCCAAGAACTGACAGTGATATGACGGGACTTCAGACCGGTAAACCACTATGGGCATCTGAAGACTACAGTCAGCCACCAGATAATTACGGAGGATCGTGTTGGGCCAGGGTAAATTCAATCTCACAAATGCAATCTTTAATGTCATTTTAAAGCAACATACCTCAATTCTCTCTCCCCTCTCTCCCCCCCTCGCTCTCTCTCCCTCTCTCTCTCTCTCAATTCTGAGTTAAAGTATCTTAAATCCACTCAAAGTTTATTTTAGATTAACACAAGTTTAAAATATATTGGTTTTTTTTCAAATTTTCAGACGATCAATCAAGATTATTCAAATGGATTTATCACTGCGTAAGTGTAACTGGTTTTATAGACAGTTTTCTTCATAGAGAATTAACGTACTGTATTATGGTAGTTGCACTACGTTATGTTTTACTGCTTTACCGTATAACCGTTATAGTTTACCATATAACAGTATTATCGAGTATTATGGTATTAATGGGTCCATGTTATATTTTACTGCTTTACTGTATAGCAGCATTTATGCTAGATGCTTTACGTTATATTTTACTGCTTTAGCCGTGTAAGGATAATATGCTTTATTTTACTGATCTACTGTATAACTTATGGTAAAGGGTCTACGTTATATTGTACTGGTTTATCGTATAATAGTATTGACTCTATGTTATATTTCACTTCTTTACCGTATAAAGGCATAATAGTAATGGTCCTATTTTATATTTTATTCCAGTCAGGTAGCATGGTGTATTATAAACAGCATGTATGATGGTTTACCGTTTAATGATAACGGTTTAATGCGGGCAATAGAACCATGGAGTGGATCTTATTATGTTGCTCCTCCAATCTGGGCTTCAGGTAGGTCAACACCCGCTAATGGAATAACAGATTCAGTATATCTACTTCTTTACTTGTTCTTATACTTGGTATCATAAAATACATGTAGTCGACTTTCGATTTTAATTGAAACTTATTGAAGTATAGCTGTTTTTTTCAGCCCATACCACACAGTTTACCAAACCAGGATGGATGTATTTAAAGCATGGTTCTGGTGTTGGAAACTTCTCTAGAGGAGGTAGTTATGTAACATTTATGAGCCCAGATCAACAGGATTTTACAGTAGTTATTGAGACTGGGGTAGGTAATAGGGTTATGTTCCTTAATTTGTATAACGATGTTTAAATTCAATTGATTTGTGTTTAAATTTATTTCAGACATTTAACCATTCCCATTGTCGCAAAGTTATCGAACCATTTACAGTAGAACCACAAGATGTCATATTACAGCTAAAGGGGACATTAGTGAGTATGATAAATATGTTTCTCTCTTGCAACAGGGAAAGTTCTAGTAGTATATTATTAATTGTTTCACATCAGGATTTTCGTTTTGGTTTAAATAATCAACACGGCCTATCCAGTTTCAGAAAATGGTCAATCAACTTTTGACGGAAATCGTTTCGCTGAAAGACATTTTGTTTTCAATTTGAGACTTAAACCCTCGGAATAACACGTTTAATTTTAATTAATTCACAAATTCTGCAGGCGAAAGTTGATCAGTTACAAGTGTGGTATACCAAACTAACGTTTGATGGATCCAGCTCAACTATATTCCAAAAGAAATCACCATTAAAGGTATTTATTTGCGTAACTGAGCCTAATTTCAACATTTGATTTTAATCGTCCGAAAGTTAAATATCCTCAACATTCACACACCCCATAACAAAAATAAACAAAATCCAAAAAATGAGGTCTGTTAGTTAAATAAAATAAAATGCAATTTGTATGTTATCTCAAGGTTATAAATGGTGAAATACGTCTAAGTTTAGATATTGATGAGGTCTGGACATTAACGACTATTACTACTGGACAAAAGGGACAACACAATCCCCCACCGCCACCAGCACCGTTCCCGTTACCTTATACAGATGACTTCGAAGGTAAAATGGCAGTTTGTCGTAGTTTTGTTAATCTTCTGCACGCATAATAACCACCCCGCGTGTCTTTTGTGTAGAGCATCCACTGGAGCATACACTGTGGATATTTTGTGTGTGCAAATATCACAATGTAATATTCAAGATTTATCACTTCTCATGGGAGATAATTAGATCGCTAACAAATTGTTGCTGTATTTCTGATTACAGACATGTTGTATAATTTACACGATCCAGTCTATAATACCAAAATCTTCAGTTTATTAAAAACATTAAAGACATAATTTTTAAATTGCAGACCAATGTGTTAATATCAATAGTGATTGTTAGATTCAATCGATTTCAAGAGATATTTATATTTTGTTCGCCTTTGGGAATCTAGGCATATTTATTTTCATAATGACGTCCTTGACCAAAGGTTCCCGTATAGGAATCTGGAGACGAAATTCATATTATTTATGATTACATTTTACAGTATACCCTATTTATTCTGAAGCGTATAATTTGGTTGCTCAAGCTGGTTATTATGAGATTACTGATATTGGAGCTCCACAAAATAAAGTTATCCGCCAGATGTCACTTGAGATGCCAGTTTTTTGGGGTAAAACAGATAGTCTCGGAGTTACATTGGCTCTGATCGGGAATGCTAACTGGTTAGTATATAAATAATTGTTCCAGTTTGAAACCTCGGTATATCAAAGTTCAGTTCAAAAGATTTTGGTGTACGTCCGTAACCACTAGCTTGCGCTTTTTTGACGTTGATGATTACTATATCCTAGTAGTTCGGTAACTTCGGATACCAGAAATTCAATGTTCCATACCTTAAAGTGCTATTATTGGTAAAACAAGCGGTCGCCATGCAAGAGATACATAGGGAACAAGCTAAAAAAAAAGAGATTTTCCTACAATAAAGGGCCATAATCAAGGATGTTAGGGCCCGTCAATATCAGAAGAATCCGGAATCTTTGGAATATAAATATATATTTTAAGTTTAATCAAAATAGGATAACAATTATGACCTCTAGGCGGCCCACAAGCTGAGGGTTTATTTATTAAATTGAATAGTATTCTGTTTTCTATTCTGTGAAGGACTGATATAAATATATCTGTTGATGCCCGTCCTGCTCCAGTAAATGGTACCGATGGTGTTTTCGTTGCCTGTAGATTATACAATCTGGGTTTACGAGATAGCATCAATGCTGGATTATACTTCTTCATTTTCCCAGCAAATAAAACATTTGTAGTTTCTCGCGATGTCGGTGAGTATTGACTTTAGACATTTATTTGAGAGTATTGCATCCGTATGCTTTCACATCAGTATCAATAACCTTTTGATAATCACCGTAAATTTGACTTAGTCACACTTGGCACATTGCTTCAAAAGTATAGTTTTCATATCCCGATATCTTTTTAACTGGGTGATTTCTGACGATCGCCTTGGAACCTATACGCAGATTTATTGATGTAAAGACAATTCGAAAGCAGAGAATCAAATAATAGGTTACACCGGTCTACATGCCTGTTTTCAGACGATGGCTGTGTGATTAGCAAGTAAATATCTAGAAGATGTACATGGATTATATAACTTTGATGTAATAAGCACAGATATATTCTCACATCAATACAGATAAGCGCATAATTTTGATAGAATGATTTGTTCGAACCTTTCTTTTCTCTATTAAAATGTCGGGTCCTTGAAGTTCTAGATAACGAGCTTTAACTGTAAATATGTTTGAGACTGGATAATAAATATGTATTTTGTATTTTTCAGTCAGAAAACACGTAATCTTACGCGGTCACCATGCCGGAATAACTGCTGAATGGAATCAACTCTCGCTATCAGTAAAGGTAGATTCATCATATTTGTAGAAGCATTAGGTTGCCACGTCGTTAAATGATGCCGTGTGACCATAATAATCAAAACTTAAACCCGTCTAGAGTGAAATGTTAAATCTAGATTATAGATTTTGAATTCCTTTTTAAAACATTTTCTACCACATTACATCTCTGTGCTGCATAGTATTTCTTCCACATTACATATCTGTGTTGCATAGTTATAATATCCTTGATTTTTTGAAGCGACAAAATAGTCTTGTTCTTGGTGTGGCAATGGTTTATTTGTAAGATTTTACAGAAAATCGACTGTTTCACTAAGTTGTCTGTAAAGTATTAGTATATATTATATTTACAGGGAAGTGAAGCTGTAGGAAGTATTAACAGTGTACAGGTCTTCAACACAAAAATATCAGGCGGTATAATTCAAGGTTTTGTCGGATTGGGAACAACTTCTTATAAACTGGCGGATTTTGATAATTTATATATAAGTAGACCTTAAAATAATCAAATTTCAATTTATGATTGAAACAGTAATAATTAAACTTTATGAATATGATTTATTCAATTTTATCAATTTGAAAAAAATTAGATAAATTGATTATATGAAAGGTAGAATTATTTCATGTTTCACAATCGATTTTAAACAATTTATCAGTTGTATTATCTATATCATTTATAAATAATGTTAATAACATCGCCCCGAAAGCAGATCCCTGTAGGATCCCATCGCCCATTAACCCAAGATTCAAGATGCATTTTTTGCATTAGTCGCAATAGTCAAAATTATTTACCCTGGGTAAATGGAGTTATTTACATTATTGACTTGGATCAAAAACACATATATTATACTATTTTGTATTTGTTGCACGTACTTTTTATGAATGAACCAGCTCTTCGCAGGTGATACCAATAGTTTTTTTTTGTATTCTAACAGATATAAATTGCATAATTTATGAAAATTTTTTTTATCAAAACAAAATTGGCTATTATGCCTTGGTCCCACCGGGGAAAAATCATCGGCTATGTGGAAATAAACAAATTTTTTCCCGATGGCTCCTGATGCACGAGGGAAAAACGTCTGAAACACATTCGAGAGAAATTTTTGTCAGTTCTCCCGAGGCCCCCCGATGGTTCCACGTGGCTCGCGACGCTCCCGAAGCTTCCCTGGGACACAGGGGAACATATTCCCGACGCCTCCCGGCGCCCATCAATTTCCATCGGTAGTACATCCCCGAGGCTAAAAATGCCCAGTGGGACCTCGGCATAAGGTTCACCATATCCCCTGTAATAATACTAATACATCCGAATAAAGTTGTTAAACCTCATAAGTGTTTGCCTGATTTCCAAATGAAGCCATAAGAATTACAACGTCAGGCCAAATAATACAATTACAACCGTGAGTCTGTTTTTATGGTTATATATATGTTTGGGAAGAAGTGTAAAAACAGCCGCTTTTCGGTTTGAGTTAAAACAAACAACTATACACTTTGCCCCTGTCAGTCCCACAGTAGTTGTCTCGGCTATGAACACCCGACATCTTATTACCTATCAACGACGGCATCTGAACCAATAACAAAGACTCCAATGCCATAACATCCTGGATAGTTTTCCATGGATTATGACTTCACAGAACCCTTAAAACAGGGTTCATACTTTCATGTACCGATCACGTTACACACCCAGGACAGGATTGAGACCCACAGAGGCCCTAATTGCTTAACAGATTTTGTTGCCTCCATATATAGCACGGCATTATTAACTGCGACAAAACAGCAAGAAAAGACAAAATCATTGAATTATTTTGCTTAATGTTTAACCCAGCCCTAAACACACTATATACGGTTTATCTGGCAAACCTCTCAGTGAAATAAGATCACCAAACTCGCATAGAGAATCGATGAGAATAATAATATTACTGTTTAGATCAAAATAGGCGGAATCTAGTTTGAATCTAGATTTTTAACGCTTCGGTGATAGCCGATCTATACAGTTGCCTTTAGTTGGAATATAATACACCTTATGGAATGAGCTGAAAAAGTTCAAATAAAGCGGCCTCTTATTAATATTTTAATACAAGAAAATCAATCAATTTTTGTTCAAATAGAGATGATCCAAAAAAAAAGCGTTCTTTTATACTTAATTCACGCCATAGGCAAGTTATTTGTCCTTGGTGGACCGTAAAGAAATAATGTTTAGGAAAGATGTTGTCAATACTAAATACTAAAAAAGATGGGTTTTTGTACCATCCGAGCGACTAGACGGCTTGACATGCCCTTCGTCCTACACCACTGATAAGTGGAAATCTCGAGGAAGTTTCCCGGCCAACACCGGAAACGAACTCGTGACTTCCAGGCCAGCGAGCCGGCTCCTTATCCAATTGCAGCCGGGCAAGACAATTGTTTTCGGGTGATCATCAAATTTTTCGGGCACTGGCTAAATTATGAAAATCAAAATTTTAGTGAAAATAAAAGGAAAAATGTGAAAATTATTTCATACCGCAAAAGGAAGTGTCCTAAATCCGGGACTTTTACTGACCACTGTGTGGGATGATGCAATTCCCAACCGGAATTCAGAGCTTCAGAAAATCAATCAATTCTAATTTTGATTCAGGATGTTTACTTCTAAAACTCAAACCACAGTTCCAGACGATTCGCTCCGCTAGGCACTACTTGCCGTTCTTTTTCGATATTTTACTACGGTTCATTTGTGGTAAAGTTATATAGGGACATTGGGGGCTGCCTCCGTATTTTCTGGGCAAAAATAATACAACCTCCAAGGAAAATCATCTCGTACGCCTATGATATTATAATGTAACCTTGATGATGCAGATGGCTGGGACATATCATCTTTTGATTTGTTATCAATATGTGTCGCTGTTATATAGGTCATGGTATATTGATTATATTCATCATATTAAATTGTATGAAATGAACATGCCAACAGTTTACTGCAACTTGTGGTTATGTTTAGTTTTGTGTCCGTATATAATAACACAGTATATCTATCCTATAGATGATACACCTGGATTTGGTAGAAGATTTGATGGTGTAGGAGGATTGAGCGCAGGGGGGAGTATGCTTTTATTTTTACCTTCTTGACCATGACCTGGACATGATATTTTTTTATCAACCTTGCATATATTGTGACATCAGTTATTGTTTTATGTAGTTGTCTCCCCTGTCATAGTATCGGAAACAATGAGCTTTTAAACCTCACACTCGCTTGCGTTGGTAGTGCGTAAGCCACAAAAGCGCAATGTTACACCTACGCAATATTTACGGCAGATGACGCCCTCGTAGCGTCACCTGTGCTTCGCCGTAAGTGTTTTTTGGCCGTCAGTTGCCACATACGACACCGATGCAGTAGGCTTACACGTAACGTCTTAGATTACCCCGATCTCAAACATCGCACATTAGGCTAACTGTCGCTTTAATTACTCACTTGTTTTGAAATTTAGAAAAGGGATATAAAAACGTTTCGAATGTAGGCTACTAATTTTTCCCTCATGATTGTCGAATGGGAAAGTCAGGATGGTTGTGAGAGGGGATCAGACCGGTTGGGGAGGAAATCAGGCGGGTTGGGGAGGAGACCAGATGGGTTGTGATGGGTTGTGGGATGAGATCAGGCGGGTTGGTGGATGAGTTCAGGTTGGTTGGTGAATGAGATTAGGCGGGTCCGGGGGGGGGGGTGATTAGGCGGGTTGGTGGATGAGATCAGGCTAGTTGGAGAGGAGACCAGGCGGGTTGTGGGATGAGATCATGGGGGTTGGTGGATGAGATCCGGCTGGTTGTTGGGGGGCGGGGGGAGATCAGGCGGGTTAGTTAATGGGATCAGGCGGGTTGTAGGAGGAGATCAGTCGGGTTGGTGGATGAGATCAGACGGGTTTCTGGATGAGATCAGGCGGGTTGAAGGATGAGACGAGGTTGGTTGGTGGATGAGATCATGTTGGTTGATGGATAGAATCAGACGGGTTGGGGGTGAGATCAGTCGGGTTGGAGAAGGAGATCAGGCGGGTTGGGGAATGAGATCAGATGGATTGGGGGATGAGATCAAGAGGGTTGGAGGATGAGATCAGATGGGTTGGGTATGAGATCAGGCGGGTTGGAGGAGGAGGAGATCAGGCGGGTCGGGGGATGAGATTAGATGGATTGGGGGATAAGATCAATAGGGTTGGAGGATGAGATCAGGCTGGTTGGAGGAGGAGGATATCAAGCAGGTTGTATGAGGAAAACGGGTTGGTCGGGGAGGTTATTTCCACACGGAAAATTCATCTATCGAAATACTAGGGTAGAATTAGGATATGATGATCACCCCTATCCAAATCCCCTGTGGTAGACTCGACCTTCCCAATTAGCCTGATTAATAGACTCTCACATGATCCTACATGATGATTATTCGTTAACATGGATATCTTAACATAAAAGTAATCAAAACCCAGTAATTATATGTACTTTATGTATAGAATCTACTTTTAAACTTGATACTTAAATTTGATTCATGATATTTTAATAAGATTTACAAACTTGATACTTAAATTTGATTCTTGATATTTTAATAAGGCCATTGTCGGATATGTTCGTAGTCCGGACCTTGTGAGCAGAAATCAAGTGGAACTTTTCATAATGATTGTCAGTACGAAGGCATGATAAGTGACATATTCAAGTCAACCTGGGGAAAAGTGATTATTTCTGTATAGAAATGATTTGTAACAGCAAGGAGCCACGCATTCTATCAGCAATACAAGAACTACCGACGGCATAATTGCGACCAGAACTGGACGGTAAAAGTTGCCGGCCTTAACGCGGTATGATCAAGAGAGCATATTGTTTTAAGTATTGTATATACTCTCGGGATAGCACATATTGGCTGCAGTTACAGGGTAGGTCTAAAAAAAGGGTCACCCAGTCTGATTATACACTACTTTTTTAAATGTGAATAATTAAAAAATCAAATTTCAGAAAAATATCACAGAAGCATGAAGCTTTTATTGCATACTAATAGTCTCCTATTTTGTCACTATTTCTGAACACGGTTCAATAATTAATGACACGCTGAATCCATGCACCCCTTCTCAGAATTGTGAACATATTTTAGGCCAACGGTGTATATTATTATAAAACTTTTGTGATCAACCAGCTGTTAAAATATCTGTTACAGGCCTCAACTAAACTATTAGTTAATTATCCACAACAACAGCGAGATGAAATACTCGATTATTTATTCAAAGTAAGTAGTATACTAACCATAATAAATAGAGACTTTCATACTGTATTTGAACAAAACACAATTGTGGGGAAACCCTTTATCTTAAACTGTAGGTCGTCTAAAATGTAAACTGTCAAGTATTGCTGGAAAAATTTAAGATAACTGACCAAATTTACAAACACGAATATATATCTTCAATATATAAATACTGCGTTAGTACCTAGCACCACAAGCCCATCCGTACTACGAATTTCTGGATCATGAACTGCCCCCTACGCACTACTCATTTTGATGGTCTTGTTGATTGACATAAAACTTGTAACGTCATCACAAGTACCTGGCCCACGTCATTTCCACATCTAAAAAGACAGCAGTGTGTTGTCCGTCGACTATGGATAACAGCTCATCTAGACTTAAACTTTGTTCAAAATTAAATCAATCAAACAATTGAAAAGTAGAATTAAATCAATCAAACAATTGAAAAGTAGATTGCTTGTGCTAAGTTGTTTATATTATAACAGATATATGATTCCATGGCCAAATATTTATATATACCCATAGCTATGATACAAAGTCCAATTGGTGTATAAATCGAAGATGAACTATGTAGGTTTACGTGACCACGCGTATTTCTCATATACTCTTGAAAAGTAGGGGATATTGAAATGCAAATATGATCTACGTAAATATACGTATGGACACTTGACATACTTCGAGAGTATGTTCACAGATGAAGAACTTATCGTCCCAACAGAACCACTGAGCTGCATGTGCGACACGCAATATCACCTTACACGTGGGAGGGGTTCATTGTCAAATTTGACATTTCAAGGAAGGATTGATGAAAACTGCCGCTTGCTGGTTTATCCTATCCATGTTTGCTTTCCTATCGGTTCTTGTATAAGATTTAATGTTTAGCGTATCTTTTCTTTAGTGTGTTACGTTTAATGTGATCGGGAGACTTGTTCGTCGACGTCAACGTCAACCGACAACACTGTAAGAATTGGCCGTGGCACTGCAAGGGGAGTGGGTCAGATTGCCCCAAATCGTGATTGCACGGTTGATTAGGAGCATGCCACGACGAACTGCTGAATGTCTGGGGATTGGTGGAGCAATTACTCATTATTAAGACAAAAATCAAAAACGTCCATTTTCACGTTTGCAAGTGAAATGGGGCCGTCAGATAAGCCACCCATATGAACTGTTTATGTTCATGTGTAGGCAATTGGCCTGCTATTAACATACACTGGTTACCTCTAATAAAAACAGCAGTACATTTCCGCAGTTTTGTATTGTTCCTGAATATCACCTACTTTTTTTGAAGAGTATATAAATCACGTTTACGTGAGCACATCTTTTCCCAGACATAATATTTACGTAGATCATATTATTCTGTAATATTGGTAATATGAAAAGTAAAAAGAAATCGGAATGATAATGTTTCAAAATATAGTGCAAACCGTTTTACGATTCCAGTATTCCAGATTAAACCAATTGTTTGATGGATAGCACCTGTTCACGAAAACAGCGCAGATAAGGCCAGTGAATCTGTCTGACAACTAGGATTCTCAAGTATTTATACAGCAATGATATGCATTGATTTATAAAAACTAGATAAGCCTAGTCGAAACGTCGCTCAGTTATGAACTAGAATGGTAGTCCTATGTATTTCCAGTACAATTACTAAATGCCATTAAAACAATTCATGATAAACTTGTGAAATCCTTATAAAAGAGCGAAAAGTCGGAGAGTTTGGAAGAACATCCGAGCGACATTATTCGCCCGTCAAAGCTATATTAACCACATGTTGTCGACGTATTTCAGCCAAATTTTGGAGCCTCTTTGCATATTCTTAAAGTGGAAATTGGCGGCGATGGTCAGAGTACAGGTAAGGATGTGGCTAGTCTTCTTTCAAACATGAGAACGATACAATCGTGTCTCAGCTGTCATGAGCCTCTAGGAACCGAAGGTGGTTCTTGTATTTTACGATAAATTATCCCTAAACTAGATATTATTTCATTCCATGGCTTTTATTATTTTTAAGGGGAAATACTTGAGTTTGATATTGTTTTCTTACAGATGGAACTGAAGCTTCCCACATGCACTATAGCTGGGATCTCAACTTTGAACGAGGTTATGAATGGTGGATGATGAAGGAAGCGAAAAAGGTCAGATCACTTTTTATACGAAACTTTATAAAACAGCAAACCCGAATACAAACGTCAGAAGAACTTAAACTACTCAAATATATATACTGGGTTATGCGAACTTCTGTTGCGGTCAGTGATCATAGAAAGTTATGAAAATGTTATTGAATCGATTGCAAAGGAAACCGTCATAGCATTGCTGAACCCACAGCAGTACCCGAAAGGTCGTGATTTGCAAGTGTGTCTATATAATTAAATTAAAATTGTTTAAAAAAGCAACATACGTACCCATATCAGAAATTGGGTTACGGAAGGTAGAGAGTGGAAGATTTTATTTCTTTGAGAACCCTGTAATGTGAATCGAATTTTGTTTCCAACCCACTTCATATATTCCTTTTTTTTTTCGTTTTTTTTATTTACAGAGAAATCCGGATATTAAATTATTCGGATTGCCTTGGGCTTTTCCAGGGTGGGTTGGTGGAGGAACCCTAAGTCCCTACACATATCCAGAAGTGACCTCAACGTATGTTTGTGAATGGATTCTTGGCGCTGAAAGAATACACAATCTTACGATCGACTATGTTGGGGTATGTATTTCAAAGATTTTCAAACAATTTGGGATTTTGTTTTAAAGACAAAATGTTAGATTTTCGTCTTAAAATACCGTCATCTACACTGATAAATACTGAATCTAGCACCTGAATTAACCGGAAGTTACCTGGTTCTACACAGTATTGGACGAGACAGTTCCTCTAGATTTAATCCTTGTCAATGTTGCAGGGAGGAGGGTCACCTGTACACGTTTGATTGAACGTATAAAAAAAACTTGATAGTTGGAGATGCCCTCTTGTCTGTCTTCCTTAGCCAATTAAAACATCAAAGCCCATTTCATTTCGTAGATCGCTTGAAGAAATTCTTTATGAAACTCTTGTCCTCTTGGTAAAGCTGATTCGAGTCCTAATTTGAACCCGGGGACTTCGTAGGTCAATACTTCTTCCTCTAGGTCATGAAACATTTATTAGATCGCACGAGTAATGGTATCTCGAAAGCATGTGCATACCCTGCCCGTACACGGACCCTTTACGGACTATAGCTAAAACAGCTTGGATCTGGTTTTTAAAAGCAGAATCCAATTCATCATTTATTCTTTTGTTTCAATTTCAGATTTGGAATGAACGGGATTATAATGTTACTTATATTTTGGTAAGTATTTGAAGTATTAACGTCCTAGAAATTCCTTCCATTAATAAATTTGTTATTAGAAACATAGGGATTATGGCAATATGAATTGTTTTCCAGACATTAAGGAAGACATTAGATTCCTATGGGTTACAACATGTAAAAATTGAAGCAGCAGATGGAGGTATAGATAAGATAGCTTACGATGTTCTTACCAATCCAGATCTAGCTCAAGCTGTTTCTATTATTGGGTTCGTATGTACATTGAATCACAGAATTCAATAGCACTTTGTTACTATGCATTTGAATTCCGTTAGGCATATCGTTTAAAATTCCCTGAACATATTGCAAATATTTGACCAATTGAACAAAAATAAACCTATTAAAATGTCTCTCTTTTTCATTGATGCTTTAGACTGCATCACAATGTTACTGGGAACCAACAGAATCCCGAAACCCCTCCCATATACTCGCCTCGTCACAGCTCTTTATAATCCCCAGCGCGTTTCTTGATAAGAAGACCGATAAGGAGAGATATCCTGTCCTGTATTTTCAGATTTCACCAGCCAAGAACTGAGAGTAATATGATGGGTCTTGAAACTGGTAAACCACTATGGGCATCTGAAGACTACAGTCAGCCACCAGATGATTACGGAGGATCGTGTTGGGCTAGGGTAAACTCAATCTCACGAATCCAACCTATCTTTAAATGTCATTTCAGAGCAACACGTCTCAATTCTGAGTTAAAGAATCTTTAAATCAATCAAATCACAGTTTTTTTTTAGATTAACAAAAAATTAAAATGTATTGTTCTTTCCAAATTTTCAGACGATCAATCAAGATTATTCAAATGGATTTATCACTGCGTAAGTGTAACTGATTTTATAGACGGTGTTCTTCATAGAGAATAAACGTACTGTATTATGGTAGCTGCTCTATGTTATGTTTTATTGCTTTATCGTATTTTACCGTATAACGGTATTATGGCAATGGGTCCATGTTATATTTTACTGCTTTACTGTATAGCAGCATTATGGTAGAGGCTCTACGTTATATTATACTGCTTTAACCGTATAAGGATAATGGTTCTATGCTATATTTTACTGATCTACTGTATAACTTATGGTAAAGGGTCTATGTTATATTTTACTGGTTTATCGTATAATAGTATTGACTCTATGTTATATTTCACTTCTTTACCGTGTAAGGATAATGGTTCTATGATATATTTTACTGTTTTACTGTATAGCTATATTCTGGTAGAGGGTCTATGTTATATTTTACTGGTTTACCGTATAAGGGTATAGTCTCTATGTTGTATTCTCTTCTTTACCGTATAAAGGCATTATGGTAATGTTATATTTTATTCCAGTCAGGTAGCATGGTGTATTATAAACAGCATGTATGATGGTTTACCGTTTAATGATAACGGTTTAATGCGGGCAATAGAACCATGGAGTGGATCTTTTTATGTTGCTCCTCCAATCTGGGCTTCAGGTAGGTCACCGCCCTCTAATGGAATAACTACCAGCTTTTCTTATTTATACAGTTTTATTCTTTTATACATGGTATCATGAAATACATGTAGTCGACTTTCGATTTTAATAGAAACCTATTGTACAGAATAGCTGTTTTACAGCCCACACCACACAGTTTACCAAACCAGGATGGATGTATTTAAAGCATGGTTCTGGTGTTGGAAACTTCTCTAGAGGAGGTAGTTATGTAACATTTATGAGCCCAGATCAACAGGATTTTACAGTAGTTATTGAGACTGGGGTAGGTAATAGGGTTATTTTCCTTAACATTCGTTTTATATTTTAATTTGTATAACAATGTTTAAAATCAATTGATTTGTGTTTAAATATATTTCAGACATTTAACCATTCCCATTGTCGCAAAGTTATCGAACCATTTACAGTAGAACCACAAGATGTCATATTACAGCTAAAGGGGACATTAGTGAGTATGATAAATATGTTTCTCTCTTGCAACAGGGAAAGTTCTAATAGAATGTTATTAATTGCTTCACATCGCTGTAGCCCTCAAATTAATCTCGTTAGCTTTAAAACATATCAGGATTTTCATTTGGTTTGAATAATCAACACGGCCTATTTTAGAAAATGATCAATCAACTTTTGACGGAAATCCAGAGAGAGAGAGAAATGGGGTTTAACGTCCACTCGACACAAACTAGGTCATTTCGGGACTAACATATGGTTTTTTAAATTTTATTTCAATAATTCGCTTGCGCGTATGGGTCTTTAGCAGTGGGAGGAAACCGGAGGACCCGAAGAAAACCCACGAGGTTGGACAGGCGACCCTACTCCTTGTCACGTATATCCGGGGATTCGAAACCACGCCAGTCGGCTCAATGACAGACTTTATGATACAGCGCGCGCACGCTAACCATTCAGCCATCCATCTCCCCGACGGAAATCCAGCGTTGCTGCTCAACGTATAGTTTTGATGAAAGACATTTATTTTTCGAATTTGAGACTTAACCCCTCGGAATTGCACATTTAATTTTATTTAAATATTTGAATTCTGCAGGCGAAAGTTGATCAGTTACAAGTGTGGTATACAAAACTAACGTTTGATGGATCCAGTTCAACTATATTCCAACAGAAATCACCATTAAAGGTATTTATTTCAACATTGGATTTTAATTGTCCGAAAGTTAAATATCCTCAACATTCGTACACCTCTATAATGGGTATATATTGCAACCCCTCGTGGATTGGCTATATTGATGTAAGTCAAACCTAATCTGTAAGTTAAATATGATAGAATGTTATTTGTATGTTATATCGACAGGTTACTAATGGTGAAATACGTCTAAGTTTAGATATTGATGAGATCTGGACATTAACGACTATTACTACTGGACAAAAGGGACAACACAATCACCCACCGCCACCAGCACCGTTCCCGTTACCTTATACAGATGACTTCGAAGGTAGAAAGACAGTTTGTCGTAGTTTTGTTAATCTCTTGCATGCATAATGAACACCTCCGCATATATTTGGTGTCGAGCATCCACTGGGGCATACTTTGCGGCATGAAATTATTGCGATTTACCTCGTGTGGAGATTTTGTGTGTGCAAATATCACAATGTAATATCCAATAGTTATCACTTCTCATCTGAGATAATCAGATAGCTAACAAATTGTTGCTGTATTTCTAATTATAGATATGTTGTATAATTTACACGATCGGGTCTTAATACCAAAATAATCTTCAGTTTATTAAAAACGACTTTGCATTAAAGACATAATTTTTAAATTACAGACCAATATCAATCTAAATACTGATTTTTTAGATTCAATCGATTTCAAGAGATGTATATTTTTTTTTCACCTTTGGGGATCTAGGCATTTTGATTTTCATAATGGCGTCCGTGACCAATTGTTTCCGTGAAGCAATCTGAAGCAGAAATTCATATTATTTATGATTACATTTTACAGTATACCCTATTTATTCTGAAGCGTATAATTTGGTTGCTCAAGCTGGTTATTATGAGATTACTGATATTGGAGCTCCACAAAATAAAGTTATCCGCCAGATGTCGCTTGAGATGCCAGTTTTTTGGGGTAAAACAGATAGTCTCGGAGTTACACTGGCTCTGATCGGGAATGCTAACTGGTTGGTATACAAATAATTGTTCCAGTTTGAAACCTCGATTTATATCAAGTTCAGTTCAAAAGATTTTGGTGTAGTTTGCAGCCACTAGCCTGTATCAGTTGACTTTGGTGGATATCATTAATTCAATATTCAATACCTTTAAGTACTATTATTGATATTAGTTTATATAAAACAAGCGGTTGCCATGCAAGAGATGAATAGGAAACAAGCTCAAAAAGAGATTCTCCTACAATAAGGGTCCATAATCAATTAAGGAACACCTAGATCTTGTGACCTCTAGGCGGCCCACAAGCTGAGGGTTATTTATTAAATTGAATATTTGTCTTTTTTCTATTCTGTGAAGGACTGATATAAATATATCTGTTGAGGCACGTCCAGCTCCAGTAAATGGAACTAATGGTGTTTTCGTTGCCTGTAGATTATACAATGTGGGTTTACGAAACAGCATAAATGCTGGATTATACTTCTTCATTTTCCCAGCAAATAAAACATTTGTAGTTTCTAGCGATGTCAGTAAGTATTGACTTTAAAAATGTATATGACAGAATTGCACTCGTATGCTTGATAATAAATATAGATAGCTCAGCTATAGAGTGTTTATTTGTACTAATCAATACTATTCAGGGCACCACATGCTTCGTAACATAAGGGGGAGGGAGGCCGAATGGTTAGCGCATGGGTAGTGTATCATAAGTTCTGGCATTAAGTCAACTAGCGTGGTTTCGATTTCCCGGTTGTACGTGGCAAGGACTAGGGTCGCCCGTCCAACCACGTGGGTTTTCTCCGGATCCTCCGGTTTCCTCCCACTGCTAATTACCCCCTACGCGCAAGTGAATTATTGAAATAAAACTGAACCATATGTGTTAGTCCCAAAATGACCTAGTTTGTTTTGAGTGGAACCTTATTTCCCGAAGCTGTCAACGATTTCTGGTGTCCTAATTCTGGTCTCTATTAACCCCAAATACAAATTTTGAAATAGCATCGCTGGATAGCTTGTAATGTATTTTTGTATATTTCAGTCAGAAAACACGTAATCTTACGCGGCCACCATGCTGGAATAACGAATGAATGGAATCAACTCTCACTATCAGTAAAGGTAGATTCATCATATTTGTAGAATGATGCCATGTGATCCTAATGATCAAAAATTGACCCCGTCCAAAGTGAAGTGTTAAACATAGATTAAAGATTCTGAATTCCTTTTGAATCTTGTTTCTACCACATTGCACAGTTTTACATCCTTGATTGGTCGAAGCGACAAAATAGTCTTGTGCTTGGTGTGGCAATGGTTTAATTATGAGATTTTAGTCAAAATCAACTGTTTCACTCAGCTGTCAGCAAAGTATTAGTATATATTATATTTACAGGGAAGTGAAGCTGTAGGAAGTATTAACAGTGTACAGGTCTTCAACACAAAAATATCAGGCGGTACAGTTCAAGGTTTTGTCGGATTTGGAACAACTTCTTATAAACTGGCGGATTTTGACAATTTAAATATAAGTAGACCGTAAAATAATCAAATGTCAATTTATGATTCAATCAGTTATACCCCCGTCAGACCGGGGTGGCGTCTTGCTTGTGCTGCTACGGCGATGGAAATTGGTTTTAGAGCGCGTCAAGATCGTCAAAAGCGTGGTAGAAATGCCAGCTATCGTGATGTGGTCTCCATGGTCGCCAATGATCGCCGAGTCACGGTTCTGCGATCTGAACTAGAAAGCTATGAGAATGCGACTTTTTTCAAGTTTGTAATTTTTTGGGACATTTTCTCGTGTTCTGTTCACGTTTGCCGGCGACCTTGTGCATTTTCTGGTCAGTGCAGTAAGGACGCCACCCCGGTCTGATGGGGGCATTATAATTATACTTTATGAATATGATTTATTCAATGTTATCAAAAATTGATAAATTGATGATATGAAAAATAGATTTATTTTATGTTTCACAATCGATTTTAAACAAGTTATCAGTTGTAATATCTATATCTATTTACAAATAATGTTTATAACATCGGTCTGAAAGCAGATCCCTGTACGATCCCAACGTATTTGTTGCGCGTACTTTTTATGAATGTAACAGCTCTTTGCAGGTGACTCCAACAGATGTAACTGGCATAATTTAAGAAAAATTCTTTTATCCAAACAAAATAATAAACATAGTGGTTTGAAATCTACAACTGTGAGTCTGTTTTTTTATGGTTATGTATGGGAAGAACTATAAAAATAGCCGAATTTCGGTTTGAAACAAAACAAACAACTATACACTTTTCCCCTGTCAGCCCCACGGTAGTTGTCTCGGCCATGAAAACCCTGCATCTTATACCTACCAACGACGGCATCTGAATCCATTACAAAGACGCCAATGCCATAACGCTCGGACCATCTCAATCCTTGGTATTTATCCATGGATTATGATTCCACAGACCCCTTAAAGCCGGGTTCACACTTCCATGTGCTGATGAACTTAGATGATACACACTCAGAGACCCTAAGCGTTTAACAGATTTTGTTGCCTGCATAATATATGCAATTCAAAACAGAAATAATAATAAAGCATAAACATCGAGACTAAAATCGATGAGAATAATAATGTTACTGTTTAGACCAAAATAGACGGAATCTAGTTTGAATCTAGATTTTTAACGTTTTGTCCTCGGTGATAGCTGATCTATTAAGTTGCCTTTCTTCCTCCATTTTTCGTGTTTGACATAATAGTAGGCCGTAGTGCCGGTGCTGCTGCCCTGACAAAATTACCCTCATGGCATAATGTATGCCCGTCTTCATTATTCCAGTAGGTTATTATAGCCCATTTCATTTAATTTCATTTCGTATTCGACAAATATCGCAAATATTTTGTACTTGACTACCTATTTTATTTAGATCAAACAATTGATGCACCCACTGAACGGATTACTGTATGATACAGTCTTTTATCGCTATATTCATCGCTATCATTCAAATAACCTACATATTTTCTTTTATCCCTATCAATATCAAGGTCATTTTGTCAGTATTTATTAACCAAGTTTGTTGCAGAAAAGTAAAACTTGAAACCCTTTTTAATTTCATAGGTCATATTGATTATATGACAGATAATGAACTTAATTTATATAGAATGTATAAATTAACAGTTTACTATAGCTTGTGGTTATGTTTAGTTTTATGTCCGTATGTAATAACACAGTATATCTATCCTATAGATGAAACACCTGGATTTGGTAGAAGATTTGATGGTCTTGGGGCATTGAGTGGAGGGGGAGTATGTTTCTATTTTACCTTCTTGACCATGCACAATATCATAGCATATAACAGTTACCTCTTTTGCCATGGCATCAGTAATACTGAGTGGTTACGAATAAACTGATTTCAGCTGACTATTGGATGTCACTTCAGTTGTCACTAACTATGAATGCAAAATCCACCATCTAGTCTTATTTTGATCTTCATGACCACTACCTGGGTTAAACGTTGATAGTTGTGTTTGTGTCATATATATAATATACTCTCACTTAATATCCGACAACACTGACTTTATAAACGTTGTGAATTGTTGTGGATCGTCTGAAACCATCTAAGCAAATTTAAAATAAATAGGCGGCCATGGACAATTACAATGATATATATCATCTGCATGCATTATTGACAATAGTCTATCGAATCACAACTTTGTCAGAGTAATAATAGGCCATATTCATTTTTATGACTTTAAACTTTTAAATTCCAAGTACTTTTTGAGTGTTATTAAACTTTGATAGAGCTATGCTTATTAATAGTAAGCAATTGTTGCCGATGTTAGATTAATATCCAAAATATCATAGGAAGCGATGAATTAAAAAGGAAATGAATTTAAGATTATCAGGGTCTCAATTAAGGAAATAGGAACCGAGTATTGACAAGTATCTGGCACCATTACCAAGGGGATAAACAAACTGAACATTCCGATTCTAATTAATCGTTATATTTTATTTACAGGCAACAAGTAAACTATTAGTTAACTATCCGAAACAACAGCGAGATGAAATACTTGACTATTTATTCAAGGTTAGTAGTATACTAACCATAATAAATAGAGACTTTCAGACTGTATTTGAACAAAACACAATTTTGGGAAACCCTTGTGTTAAACTGAAAATGCCGTTATTATAGCATGTGGAGCATAACATTTTTGTGTGTTTTTGATCACACTTGCTGTCCACTGTTATTCCCGCATGATTTCGCGGCATTCCAGGTATTCAATATCACCCTAACAACTGACCGATGTATGATTTTTTCTAGCCAAATTTTGGAGCTTCCTTACATATTCTTAAAGTGGAAATAGGCGGCGACGGACAGGGCACAGGTAAGATAATGGTACTCTTTCCCCCACCCCTTGGATCCGATCGCCGGTTGCGTTATCGTCTTTAGTGGAAAGTTTATGTATCAGTGGAATCAACTGTTGCTGGCCGGGTTCAGCTGTTTATGACCGCAACTTGACGAAACTCGGTGGAATTTTAGATGTAGTCAAACTGGTTTTGTTTTTTGTTTAGTATCATCAACTAAAGGTTACTCCCGGTCCGACATTTTACATTGTTTGGGGGAAGGGGGGCGGGGTGATGAACGAATGGTTAGCGCGTGGGCGCTGTATCATAAGGTCTGTCGTTGAGTCAACTGGGGGGGTTTCGATTCCCCAGTTTTACCGGACAAGGAGTAGGGTCGCCTGTCCAACCTCGTGGGTTTTCTCCGGGCCCTCCGGTTTCCCACCACTGCTAAAGGTGGTTTCGAATCCCCGGTTGTACGTGGCAAGGAGTAGGGTCGCCTGTCCAGCCTCGTGGGTTTTCTCCAGGTCCTCCGGTTTCCTCCCACTGTTAAAGACCTCTACGCGCAAGCGAATTATGTAAATAAAATTAAACCATATGTTAGTCCCGAAATGACCTAGTTTGTGTCGAGTGGACGTTAAACCCCATTTCTCTCTCTCTCTCCACTGCTAAAGACCCCTACGCGCAAGCGAATTATTGGATTAAAATTGAACCATATGTTAGTCGCGAAATGACCTAGCTTTCTCTCTCTCTCTGTTTGGTTGTAGATGGAACGGAGGCTTCTCACATGCACTATAGCTGGGATCTGAACTTTGCACGAGGTTATGAATGGTGGATGATGTTAGAAGCAAAAAAGGTTAAATCAACTTTTCAATATTTACAAAAAAACATCTTTTGGCTTTTACACAATATTCCAAAAATACCTATACCTAAAAATAACTCCTAATTCTTTGAGAAAAACTCCTAAACAATTCAAAAGTAAAAGAAAGGGCTAGCAGCAATTATGCTTATATAAAATGATTATTTCCTAAAAAATAAATCGTGAAGGTTATTCTTTGTTTTCAGAGAAATCCAGATATAAAATTATTCGGGTTGCCCTGGGCTTTTCCAGGATGGGTCGGAGGAGGAACATTAAGTCCCTACACCTACCCAGAAGTAACAGCAACTTATGTGTGTAAATGGATTGTTGGCGCTAAACAACTTTACAATCTTACCATAGAATATGTCGGGGTTTGTATTGTTTTTAAAGGGGAATTAAGCTCTAGCTTGCACTATCGATATTTAATTTCAAGATCTTTTTATTAATCGGATTAGTATTATTTCTTGTTCTGGCCGTTTATGTCCATCTTGAACTTTATTCCTCTGCACCTGTATTCGTTTCTGCTATCTTTTGTCCTCTTGAATACTTTCATTTACATATTAAATAGATGTATTATTTGATATCTTTTGGTGAATTAAACTAGCTTATCATGTGTAGAAACACATAGAATCATTTATCGTATAGCCCCAGACTATATGATAACATTTATAAAAATAAACGGCCCCTTTTATTTCGATTGCCCACATGTTTCCAAATTGTATCAGTGTGTGGATGATTATGTCGATAATCTTGGCATAGTGGGGGTTTGCCTTTGTGGGGTCATGTTACTAACTACACTAGATCTGCATTCTCTATATTATTAATTCAACTCCTACCATTTTCAAATGGTTAAACATCGAGTTCCAACTTTTAATGAAGGCGATAAGACGATTGATTTTTATTTTGGAGTTTGATTTTCATATTAAAACTTACATGTGTAAAGGTACACAATGTTAATTGTTAGAATTGACAGTAGATATGACAGTCAACTGAATATGTTCAATTGTTTTTTTTTTGTAGATTTGGAATGAAAGAGACTATAATAAAACATATATTTTGGTAAGCAAAAATAAAAAAAACCCCAATAAGTTAACAGAATATGTAACACGTCCAATATTAATATAGCCTCTGATATGTGTATATCGGTAATGTCTAGTTCAATTGAATTAAAGGTCGAGTGTTTAATATAATTTGTTGTTTCAGACATTAAGGCAGACCTTGGATTCCCATGGGTTACAACATGTAGAGATAGTGGCAGCAGATGAGTCAGTTGATGATTTACGGATAGATCATGACATCCTCACAAACCCAGACCTAGCTCATGCTGTGTCAATTATTGGGTTAGTTACACCTATTGTTGTATAATTTCCTTCTGATGTGTTTTCGATATTTTAATATTAACATCTAAATTATGCCGAGTATGGTGTAATCCAAAATGTAGAAAAGTTTATTTTTTGTCAAGATTTAGGACAGCATAATCCCCTGGCCTCTTAATTCCAACTGGGTGGAATTTATTTTCTTTACCACTTTAGGGTTAGCTTGAAATCGGTCACCGATTCTACTGATACATAATCCCAATCAGGGTTTCTCAAGGACATACAATTGCAACATCGCATTTGAGAATATCTGTTAGTAATGACTGGAAGGAACTTTATACTTTTGGACTTGAAACCGACCTTTGTTTACAGTATATAATTTCGATTTGAAGAAAGTATACTATGGTAATACTGTACAGATATTCGTTGAAGATCTGTTGTCTCACCTTCTAGAACTCATGGTACAAGAACTCACACAGATATGCTAGAAATGGAAACTGGAAAACCCCTGTGGTCATCCGAATACTTCAGTCAACACCCAGATAATTATGGAGGGTCGTGTTGGGCAAGGGTAAATACCATTTTATTCAAAGTTACGGAAACTTTAACATAAATTGTAGTGTAACTTAACTCCAATATTTAAATAAATATCTTAATCGATGATTTAAAATATTTATGTCTCTTTAAATCTTCAGACAATCAACCAAGATTACACAAACGGATTTATCACTGCGTAAGTATTTAAATAGTTATGTTCACGAACAGTTGGGGATCACGTGGCTAAGTGGGTAAGACGCTGGCTCGCTAGCCTGGAGCTCGGGTGTTCGATCCCTGCATTTTCCGAGAAAGTTCATCCAGATTTTCCGGCGTGGTTCCCCTTGTCAGTGATGCAGGACGGAGGGCCTGACAAGGACAGCTGTCTAGTCCTTCGGATGAGACGAAAAACCGAGGTCCCGTGTATACATTGGAATGCACGTAAAAGATCCCTTGACAGTTGGAATTCGATATAAGAGTAGGCGATAGTGCCGCTGCCCGGGGAAAATTTCCCTCATAGCACACTGTATGGCGTATGCCCGTCTTCATTAGCCCAGTATAGGAGCAGAACAGTAGAACGTTAAACCCCATTTCATTTCCTTTCATTTCACGAACAGTTCATTAGTTTAGATGGTGGTTTAATTTCTAGCTATGCCATTAATTTTAAATGTTTAATTTCTAATATCTAGATACTTGTCCATAGTCCAAACCTTGAAAACAACGAAAGGGATCTTTGGATAGCCGTGGACTCGCCCATTGTCACTTTCATCATGATAATCTCAGCTATATAAATCGTGTTGATGGGATCTCTGATTGAAAAGAAAAACTTCGTGTATGTTCACCGATCATTCCTCTATACATTCCGTTACAAACCCTACAAGGGAGTGTAAGCTAGAGGTTTTTTCTGTTAAGATTTTGAACTGGACAACCGCCCAGGCTGATTCAAGTCCACTTCAAGTAATAAGTCAGTGGTATTAGATGTTTATGAAGTAGCCATATCCCAACGCACGGCAATAAACACCACTAGTAGCGAAATGAAATTATGAACCATTTAGACACCGAGGCTACTGGCCAAACGGTAACCTTCTTTAACTTACACCGTATATCATGTATTATTCCAGTCAGATAGCATGGTGTGTTATAAACAGTATGTATGATGGTTTACCGTATAATGATAGGGGTTTAATGCGAGCTGTTGAACCATGGAGTGGATTTTATTATGTTGGTCCCCCTATATGGACTTCAGGTAGGTCATATCCTCAGCTTGCACAGAATGACCAATGTTGCAGAACCGTTGAGTTTAAAAGAATGGTAGACACTGGCATTATTAAGTAGTTGTTAAGGTGCAGATGCTATTTATTTGCACAAGTACATTGCTTGTAGTTACTTGTTCACACAATGTCCACTTCAGTTGGTTCAATGAAACATCGTTTGCAGACACACGCCAAAATCCTGAGATGAAGACTTTTTTGTAGGACTGTGCTCATCTTCTACAGTTTCGTAAATGTTCTCGGCATTGCAATCGATGTAGAAATACACCACCCCCACCCAAGTTGAAGACTTTCCTAGAGAATCATTTGCTATAACCATTGCCCCTTCTCTGTATATTTATTTTCTGGGTCATGGAATCTATGAACTATGGTCTTACAGATTCTCACCGTTCCCCGAATTTAGCAGCATTAGATTATTTAATAGGTCAGTGAGCAGCCTCGAAGCCCAGACTTTACGGAACACCTTCCTATGACGATATTTGTTTAACATTGAGACATAGCACATTGAGGCAGCTATTAAAATTCTCTCATCTTTACAGAAATAAAAACACACATTGCACACCATTCATCTACCAGCTTGTTCCCTTACGGGTTCAGTGATGGTTTACTTTAGTTGACCAAAAAGGTATCCCTTTCAAATATACTTAATCTATTTTCGATTTGCATAAACATTATAACCACTATTTTAGCTCACACTACGCAGTTTACCAAACCAGGATGGCTGTATCTTAAGCATGGTTCTGGTGTGGGAAACTTCTCTAGAGGCGGTAGTTATGTTACTCTTATGAGTCCAGATCAAAACGATTTTACGATAGTTATTGAGACTGGGGTATGTTATCTATACTAATAATTGTGACCGTCGTTTAAATTGTGTCTGTTTGTCTCTTTAGAGCTGGCGGCTACACGAGGGTTGTCCCGAGGTTGAAATTTAGTGTTATGGGTAGGGAGTAAAATAAGCTAGGTGGCGTTGGCCTACCGCTTCCGGTTTCGGAGTTACGGGCACAACCCGCTAGTTATAAATATTTGTACTAAAATACAGTACCATCGATCCTAAAATGGGATCAAATTTAAATTCAATAAATACAAAATAACGATCATTGTAATTGTATGGGGTCCTTGCAGCTGGAGTAAGTCAATTCCTCCGATGTTCCAAAAACGAGGTACATGTATTCAACAATCACATTGTAGTTGTAGATAGAAGAACCAAGAGTTTCTGCTGCACGGGGTGGCCCCCATGTGTCTGCCGCCCTTCACCCTGTAAGAAAAATAATGCAACACAATACCCATCAAATATATAAAAACAACCCCCTTTTCGGCTAAGTAGAAAAGGTGCCAGCCATACATGGTTTTTGAATGAAATCAGTAGTTTCAGTCATATAATCACCCCCATTAGATAGTACCAATTGCCGTAGAACCACACGATTTAATATTACAATTATCAGGGTACATCGATGAGTACATCAATAAGATCCGTTTGAGATGTTTTTATTTATTTTCAGACGTATAACCATTCTTACTGTGGTCAACCCATAGTACCATTTACAGTAGAACCTCAAGATGTTATCTTACAGTTGAGTGGTACATTGGTGAGTACAAAGGGGATGCCTCGTGGCACAAGTCCGTAGCTTTCTCCACTACACAATTTTGTTCTTTTTCTGGTCGCTATACTTCTAAAATCCAGAAACGTATATCTTTTTAGTAAATGGTATAATGTTTCTTTGTAGACTTATAATTCCACGAAACATATCCTGTTAGTAAATGGTCTAAGTTTTCTTTGTAGACTTACAATTCCACAAAACGATTTAATCATACCAGAAATGGGCCTGTTTTGGATTGCTGAGATAGATTTCTATCCGGAGTGCAATTTTCAATCCTTGGATTTTAGTACTCCGCGTATTGAATTTGGATTTGTTATATTTGTGTTCAGCAGGCGAAAGTTGATCAGTTACAAGTATGGTACACAAAACTAGCGTTTGATGGATCCAGTTCAACAATATTTCAAAAGAAATCACCATTAAATGTATGTTGTTATATACGTATATATGGGTCTAAAGTACGTTTTCTACGTAGTATCGGTTTTTAAATTACATGTTTAGCCACATACATAGAGCCACCCTTGGTTATTCCCGCGTATACAACTATATTATTTTCATTGATCGTGAGTTGCTTTAATATAGATTGCTTTGATATAGATATCAAACTTTCAATTTTACCTGTATACATAGCTGCTTTCGAAGATGTGACCCTGACTATGGTGCAATATAAGTTGGCTGGACAGTTAATATAAATACATTCTAACTTCAGAACAACGCCACAAATAATCATGCGACGGGGTCATTTATTTTACCATTAAATCGACAGGTTATGGATGGTGTGATTCGTCTAAGTTTAGATATTGATGAGGTCTGGACATTAACGACTATTACTACTGGACAAAAGGGGCAACACAACCCTCCACCGCCATCAGCACCGTTCCCGTTACCTTATGCAGATGACTTCGAAGGTGAGAAGACACATTTTGGTACCTTCATAAATCTCATGAACTGCGTATGTATATCATGTATGTTGTGTTGTTATAATTAAGATTTTATGTATCGCATCACAGATTACGCCGAGAAAAGATCAGGGGGAATGTTCCAATTAATCGATAGACAACATCTTCACAAAGAACTGGTTTCATTTTACAATAGATATTATTACTCTTTGCAGTATACCCTATTTATTCTGAATTATTACTCTTTGCAGTATACAACATTTATTCTGAAGCGTATAATTTGGTTGCCCAAGCTGGTTATTATGAGATTACTGATGTGGGATCTCCCCATAATAAAGTTATCCGCCAGATGTCGCTTGAGATGCCAGTTGCATGGGGTAAAACAGATTTACTGGGAGTTACACTTGCTTTGATAGGGAATACGAACTGGTATGTATACAGGAGATTATATGTTCAATATTACCTCGACTTTCTTATTACAAAACATTATGCATATTTTATATACAGCACATTAGCGTCTATAATCAGTATTTACTATTGACATGCTTATTCTTTCTAGATCACATATAGTACAACACCTCTTTTGTTCTACATTCCAAATAGCTAACAATCTTCGAACATTCTTTTGCTTTCAACCTTCTGGTTTAGCTATAGATAAATGCGGATGCTAGTACGAAGGGCATGTTCACTCATTTTAGAAGATATAAGAAAACCCGCAGTGTAAAGAAAGTCAGCAATTTCCTTTGAGGAATCAATAAAGCTAGAAATATATAATTCTGCTCTTCCGTCAATGGTCCTTACGATGTGTTATAATTATTGTTTGGTGTGTCTTTACTTTGTCATATTCCTTAGGACTAAGGCATACACCGTTCATCTGATATTGGTGACAGTTTATATTATAAATCGAATGTTTTTTACAATTATTTTTTGTGAAAGGACTGATATAAATATATCTGTTGACGCACGTCCAGCTCCAGTAAATGGAACTCATGGTGTTTTTGTTGCCTGTAGATTGTACAATCTGGGTTTACGAGATGGCATCAATGCTGGATTATACTTCTTCATTTTCCCAGCAAATAAAACATTTGTAGTTTCTGGCGATGTCGGTAAGTTATACTACCCCAGTAAATAAAACGATCTTTAATTATGCAGCCCAAGTGACTTCTTATTATGATTTCACATTCACTATTTAAATCTGTGATTGATTAATGTCATGAGCGTTTGTATAGATTGCTATGCTATTTAGAAGCAGTGCCCCGTTAATACTGACAAATATATGGGAGCGCTACAATTTATTCATACCCTATCAGACATGACACAACATTGTGACAGCAATCATTATGCATTCTCGTATAAATACTTTTCGACTCCAAAATGAAAATGTTTAGCAGTATTATTTTGATCAGTAATGTATTTTGCTATTTTCAGTTAGAAAACACTTGGTTTTAAGCGGCCAGCATGCTGGAATAACAGCTGAATGGAACCAACTTTCACTATCAGTAAAGGTAGCTATGTCTGTAACAGCGTTGTATATTCAGGATATTTAAATTTCAGAAGAAAAAGACATTCTTGAGAGATTGATGGAAATTTTCAGAGTTTCTAGTTAAAAAAAACAACAACACAAAAATTAAAAATGCAACAACTGTACATGCTAGTAAGTGTTTTATACTTTATGTTTTTAGGGAAGTGAAGCTGTAGGAAGTATTAATAGTGTACAGGTCTTCAAGACTACAATACCAGATGGTACAGTTCAAGGATTTGCTGGATTGGGAACAACTTCTTATAAACTGGCTGATTTTGATAATTTGAATATTAGCAGACCTTAAAGTTTTGATGTAACTGATAAAATATTGATCTTAATTGCAGCAGAGTACGTCATATAACTGATATATTTGATGATAAATTATATATTGATCAACTCAGAATAACTGATATCTCTGATGATTATTTATATATTTATTCACTGATGTACCTACCGATAATTGATATATTAATAAACTTTGATATAACTCATATCTGATGCTATATATAAATAAATATTTATAACTAATAGCTGGTCATCCAAATTGATTTATACCCGCACGCGACCACCAAAGAGAACAAATATCAAAATGTTCCCCCCCCCTCGGTCCACCTTATTATATTATGTCACACTTTATATTTGATGATTCACATCCCCTTCTTTTAAATAGAACAATATTTTAAATACTGTTTGTAGGTGATGTAAATACACCTGATCTAAAAGCAGAACCTTGCAGGAGCCTGAACCTATAGATTGGGAGCCTTATATGCCAGATCTGTCAAATATAATACCACACTATCTATATACGTCCACAAGGACACTAAACAATTTATTGTTGGAAGGTCATTCATACTTTAGTGATAACATTAATGTGGCAGTTCAAACGACAACTCCCAGTTTCTTATAAAATCTTTTTGTCAATCATTTTCTCCTTTGATAAAATTATTATCTTTACACATGATTTATAAATGATCCAGCCCTTTAAAATTGAGAAATCTTTCTTAGCCCCATATCCGTATCTCTCTATATATAGCCCACCCACTTAAATTATGAATGATTATCTTGAACCCATTGATTTATAGACCCTACAATTCAATTGGCCAATCAAACGCATGCATATATCATGAGGCACGTACGTAAGACCGATATCATTGAGACATGGGCAATTAAAGGCGTATTGCCAAAATATAAAAGCCACATTTAGTAATGGAGACAAACATTTTTGTTTGTTCTGTTTTCTTAAAGATACATTATGCAAGATTTAGATAAAAAAAACTGGTTATTTTTGCTATATTAGTTCAAAATGGATATATTGAAATTGTCAAGTACAATTTCTACAATAATAAACAAGGTCTCGATTATCCATTTTACTGTTAAATTATTAAATAGGGATGTTGTGCTAATCCATTCAATATCTAAACCATCCGATGGCCCAGCGAGTTAATTATGTGCTTGCCCTGTGAATAAATGTCTAAAAAATTAATTCACATAATATTGGAAGCAAGACAAAACAGACTTGCAATAGATTTTACATTATGCATCTTTAAATTTATTGTGGTGTGTTATTTTAAAAAAAAATTAATTGAAGTAACTTTACCAACTCTCTATAACGCGTATGTACTGGTTTGGTAAATATATCTTTGATTGTCCAGGCTCTATATATTTTCAAATTTGCCTGGCGTATTTAAAGTAGAGTTTACTCTGATGAATTGTTTTGTCGATAGCTTCTAATTGAAAGCGGAAATAGTTCGAAGTTTCGACGTAACGACACATGCATATTCTTATTCCCACTGTACAGTTAAAGGAGCTTAACCTCTAACTCAATATTTTCCATAAAAGTAAAAATTAAAAACCAGAATTAAAATGCTATATTGGCCCATTTCATCCAATATTGGAATCTTGTCGTGAAAATTCACTCGTTATCACTCGTCACATCAGTCAGTTATATAGAGGTATGACTCGTGTTTTCCTTTGGCGTTCGTCACTTCCGATTCAGGAAACTTGTATTACTTAGCTATCGTAGCAATGATCTCTGTGTTAAAATTATATTTGGAACGTGTCTAATTAGTTCTATCACATATGTGATAATGACTGACACCAATATTGTCCTTTAATAAGTGCTTTTAGACCTTTTTTGTTGACTATTTCAAGGTTTCAAAGTATGGAGTTATACGCTCTTTTTTTAGCCTCGAATAAATAGTGAAATATCTCAACAGCTCCATATCAGATAATTTCTGTATCAGATAAGTGGATGTGTCCAAAATATTGAGCAATGCGATATAGTTTAAAATGAAATATTTTTTTATATCCCTACTACAATGCAAGGTGACTTACTGGTGAATAACCTATTTACCCAGTAAGTCTTTCTCGACTTCTCAACATTACATAATATGTATAACCCAATCTAATTTAAAGGAGCTAAATCGCTAATATTTTGGGCCTAGAAATTGGCACAAATGGGTCGCAACACATACAATAATGTAATATGAATTTATATAAACTGTTTTACAATCAATCGTTTCCGTTTTACTGTGAATTGTCATCAGTTATGTTCGGCGAAATACGCCAGAAGTCTCAGCCGAAAGACAGTTTCTAGCGTATGGTTTTTTAAGTCATCACTGATAGTATATATTGCGCATGCTCTCCAAATAAGAATATGGCATCACCGTTTGACATGACTTGTGGAATATGTCTAGCCTCATTCTTTGAGCACCTTGTTTCAAATGGCGCTAAAATGCATTATAGTACACGATTCGTGTACCAATAGTAAAATGTTTATTTTGTCTTAAATATTAGATATCAGAAGCTAATCTTTTCCAGGTAAGACCACAACACCAATGCTGATTTAAATTGCAAAAAAATTCGTGTTTTCAATGTCGAAGATTTTGGATGATATTGAGTTACGGACTTAGCTACTTTAAAGCATAAGCATGAGAGAATGTCGAATTGTTATTACTACAGACAGTTGTGTGTAAGTAGTGTGCAGAGGAAAAATGTGAATTCGGTACGAAAGACTTTGTATGAGTGGACTTCGATCGGAATATGGTTGAAAAACAAAAAAAGAATGACGTGTTTCGCCGTGCTATTACAGAAACTACACGTGACACAATTCTATGGAATACAATTACTGAAAGACATGGGTGTTATTTTGTCAACAGCGCAAAATTTTACCGAAAAGAATATTTATTTTATAGATAATTTTACTCTTCACATCATAAACAAAATTTAAATGATTTCATAAAAAATTGAAAAAAGTACTTGGGGAGCTCTTGTCGTTTCTTAGTTTCTGTTCGGTGATTAGTAGGGTCGCTTTATCAAACATCGAAACAAATTATTGCATAGTTATTGCATCACAAATTCCATTGTAATTTCTAGCAGTAATTGGGGCACAATCTAGTATTTCAGCCTTATTTTAGAAGTATTTATCGTCGGCGCGACAGTAAAAGCACTCATTTCGGTAATTTTATGAACAGAGAAAGTTTTTTTTATTGTGTCCAAGACCCGCTTTTACGATGCAAACAATTATGAACGTTGGATCTATTATAAAAGAATTCATCATTTGAAAGCTTTGTTTAAATGAGTTAACTTTGTTGTTTATAAAAACTAACTGAGATACGACATTTTGAATCTAGAAAAAAACACGGACTTTCAATGGCAGCACACATATGTCCAAGATATCAACGGCATAAGAAGTGCCAAAGTGCCAAGGGTTGATAGAAACTAATAGCTGGGTAATAAATCATTTTAAGGTTCAAGGAGCTAAATTCCTAATCAGTTATGTTCGGCCGAAATACGCGAAGAGTCTACATTGAATGGCAGTTTTTGGCATCTGGTTATTCCAGTCTACATCGATAGTATTTTCCTGTGGGATATGTTTAGCCACGCGGATAAAGTAGTTTCATTACAAATGGCGCTCGAAAGCATTCTGGCACGCAATTTGTTTGCCATTTTAAAATTTTCATTTTGTCTTAAATATTGGATATCACAACATCTATGTTGATTTAAATTGACAAATGTCGAAAACTGTGAGTTGAAGACTTGCCCCCCCCCCCCTTTAAATAGAAATATATTGTATCTTACCTTGACTTTTATAACTCGATATAAAATATTCTAAATTAACAATATACATTATATTGAGTAATTTTATATAATGAAATGACCACGGAAACTGGACAACAGAAAGCATACGATGAATTGCATATACAACTTTTTCAAAGGTGCTCGTAAATTTAATTTTTATTCGAGTTGAGAGCAAAACCCCTTTAATGATGATATTGTTAATTGTTTACATAGTTGACAGATAAAAGGGTCTCTTGAAGTAAATCTGGGTTATAGTTATATATTATGATAAGACTTTAATTGACGTGTCTGGGATAGAGCGCACTAAATATATTTAGTCCAATTTTAAAGATTATTATAAGACCAGCATGTTGGAAATTGCTATTTGGAAGTATATAAATTTAATTCATATGGATTGGAATACTTAAAGTTTCATGAAATGTTGAGAAAGTTATCTAGAGGGTTACGATTCATTCGGTGTATTTAATCAGGACTGGTTGTTATACCGATAGTGCTTGATTTGGTGGCCTACTGTACTCTTTTATATTATTTTCATCGGCTCACGGTAAGTAAATTTAAAAAGCCCAACCTAGTAGAATATAGAGTTAAAGACCAGTGACTACACAATCAAAAGTACTTATATTTGAAAATAATTATGGTCCAAAAGTTTATTAATTCTAACTTCAGTAATGGCCTCATGCTAAGTTATCCACATGATATACATTTTTTAAAAAAAAATTCTCATGGGTGCAATAGGAGGGGTTTTATGAGGTGTGTGTGTTTGTGGGGGTGGGGACGGTTAATGCGTGCACCACAGCATTTCTTCATAACAGAATTTGTCCATCACGTACATGTAAATTGTAAAAGTTTTTATTCATTCGTCGATGATAGGCAAACGGCACAATGCTATAAAATAAAATTCTGTGCGACTATGATATAGTCTTCAAATATATTTTTAAAACGGTAAACGCTATTTAGATCTGGTTTATTGACCTAATTCCAACCGATGTTGGAATTCAGCATTGGAGATTCTGTCAGGAAGATACCCACTGTTTCTCTCTTTGTGTATTCGGTGTTCTATATTCAATGAAGATTTAAATTTACCTATCAACTGGTCAGTGAATCCATCAATGTACGATCCAGTTATTATTTTAATATCTACCGGTACCTGAAATTCACACAGACAGAGGGTGGTAGACGCACGATTCGCAAATCATGCCGAGATCGTCTTCATTCGCTGGATGCCTTATTTTATTGAACCTATTATGAATAATCAGCAAGCTTGGTT